TCCGGCACTGTCGTCGTGCTCATCAGCCTCTTCCTCTTCTCCACTTTCAATCAGAAGGCGGTCAAAACTGACATTTAGCTCTTCGTGCTCTTCTTTAGACATTTTACCTGAAAACGGGGAAACTAAATTAAAAAATTAATTTCGCAACTAATGTTCACGATTTATAACAAAAACCCCGAAATTTATATAAAAAACACGGAAAATAGAACCTTTATTACAGCGAGGAAAAAAAGTACCATATGGGACAATACGACCCACCGGTGGGTCGTACGCAAAAAAAGAGGGAAAAATGGGTCTGTCCCACGCGCGAAAAAACGAAAAACGTACATTGTCGTCAATGTGTATGCACTTCCCTGACACCTGTGCATGAATGGTGTTCGTGGTATACTTGGTCTTGATCCAGTAGCCCTGAAAGTTTTATGATTTTATCTCATCTCCTTACTTATCGTCAAACCTTAGCCAATAAAAGATTTTGCAGTCTAGGACAATGTTAGTGTGACTTAGGGACTAATTCAGCGAGATAACATGGCTAGTCATTGCGCCAACGAGCAAAAAATCGATATTTTGGAGCAATATTTCCTAAACAGAAAATCTCCCAGTGATAATTTATGAGTCTTTAGGACAATTTGGAATCTGCCAAGACGTGTTGCAATCAGCAGATTAGTGATTAGTGCAAACATATCGCAGGACTTCCGGACGTTCGAATCCGTACTCCATCCAAGGTCGCGCACGCTGACAGTGCGAACCCCAGAAAATATTCAGGGAGTGCGAGAGGCAGCGCAGATACACTAACACTAAATAACACTAAATCCGTCAATTGGAAGATGTCAGCATTTTTTGCTACCATATTTGAAATTTGATATCCCAGTAAAGAGATGCAATGAAATCATGAAACTTTCACTGGATCATTTCACTGGCTACTGGATTAAGGCAGAATCTAATGAATGATGAGCATTACAAGATTTGATGAAGTTGATAAAATCTTGATTTGAGAGATTTTGGTAGAATCAGTTTTTAAATCTTATAGAGGGGGCCGCAATTAAGAGACTCCGTGGAATATTTTGGCAGAAGTTGTTCTATATTGTAGTCAATTTTAATCTAGATTGGTTGCGTCGTCTCAGAGATATGAGCCTTCAAAGATGTACAATTTAAATGAAATGCCCAGTACAGTATGCTCCAACAACTGTGTCCTCTCTTTCGCCGAACCTTTCTTGTCATAGTGCGTGTAGATGGGGCTTCTCAAGCAGCAGTGAGAGGAACTTTATGAAATACAACTTGCACAAGTCAATGCATGGGTTCCAGAGAACTTTGAGCGGCGGCCTTCAGCTCCCCAACTGCTTTTGCCACGAGGACAAGATCAGAACAGAGTGCATGTTTGGGGTCTGTGACGGGTCAGTGGGTGACTTGGTCACACCGTCATTTTTTGTGTGCATCCTACCCTTATAGCTTCGCAAGACACATGTCCGTGGAATCTAATTTAAACGTCGTTTCTCTACAGCATGAAGATAACCTTCATAGTGAGGGACTTCTTTACCGTTGGATTCCTTGAGGTATTCCAGCGCCATTCACATGACTCTAGATGCACGCATGTGAACGGTAAACAACTCACAAGAGCGTAAAATATTACTGTGACCTGTTGCCTCTCCTTCAATTTTCTAGCTGATATCCATCAGGAAAACCAGGGTCCTGTTCCTTTCTACGCTATTATTCATCTCGCTTTCACCCCTTTCGCCAGTGCTACTTGCTACTACCTTTGCCTGCGACGAAATATTAAAACGACCCAAAGTGCATTTGACATTTTATCCGCGACGAAGCGCCGATAGCGAACATATAGATGCATGAGTTTTGGTAAATGTGGTCTTTTGAAAATTGAATTCAGAGAAAAGCATACTATTGGGGTACGCTACCATCGAGTACCCCATGGGGGAAGCGTTGCCTCAAAGTATTTTGCGGAATGAATATTTTTTACGCATTGGATGAAGGGAAATTTCAATGGTTTTCTATAGGGACGAATAGAATCTGCGATTTTTCAATGTTGCATCCTGAGGCCCGTGAAGGCAAGCAATTCAATATCAGAAGCAGCTTGTTGCCACAGAATATAAGCAAAGAAGTTTTACCACTTTGGTGTGTGTGAGCGCCAGAAGTGAAAGATTCAAAGGAATAAATCATTTAAATTGATTTTAGTGAGCCATAGACCTGACAATTACGAGTTTCTTTGTCCAGACGGGCAAAGTTGAACTCTGACTCACACTTTGTACTGATTTGATATATACAAAAAAGGGCATATATCATTTCCTGGGAGGTGCAATTTTGAGGATTTTTTTGACATCACCTTGGGGGACACCTTTTTCGCTGGGTGGGGGTGAGGGTGGAGGAATGGTTCCTCAACTATGTTTTTAAATTAACTGGATGGGGCGGTAGTTGTTGCGCTGGATCAGAAGTTGTAAGGAAAAGCTGCACGGCGGATATCTTTGTTTGAAACTAGGAATCACCCTTCAGTGTGTTGCATGAACTTTGCAATAATGTCACAAACCCAGAAGTGACATAATGCTTAGGGATAAAGTAAATGGAAAGGTAAGGAAATGGCTTGAATATCGTTCTGGTAATGGACTGACCCTTAGGGCAGGTAGAGAAGGAAAAATGATGACTCACTACGTTCTGGTACAACAGGGCGGATGGTGACATGCTGTAAGTCGCCCTGTGCGAAAAGTAGTAAGCACTGCAGATCCTTATTCTCGTTTTCTCCTTGGGGAAGGAAGGTCCCTGGAAGACATTCATTGCATGCTGATAATGACCAAGGTTTGGATAGTGGGAGAACCGCTTTGAACTATATTCTTGTTCCCTGTTGAATTTTAAGCTAAAAAGTGTTCTTAGGGGACTATTTCATGAAGGAAGCAGCGATTGCTGAGTCCCAGCTAAAAGTTTGTTCCCGTTCAAATAACGAAATAGCCGCTTCTTGATCAAAAATGAGGAAAGGCCAATAAATGATCATTAACCCATCTGGGATGCTAGAGACTTATATAGAGGGTGAGAAAGAGACATTCGTGGAAAGACAGGGTTGTCATATGTTCAGGCCTTGTGATTAAAAATCTAAAGACCAAGACATATAACTTGAACCTTGTACTTGAAACGTCCAGGAAAGCTCCTGTTTCTTCTCTATATCAAACCTCATAATGTAAATTCCATTTGGCAATTCATATTTTCGTAAGCTTTTCAGCGACATAGACACGAAAAGAGAGAATGAATGAAACTGAAGAACTACACCGTGTTTCATAAAATCGGGACTCCCTAAATTATTTTACTGGAATTCTCGTATTTTTTTATATGAAATTATGAACGATTGTAGTTTAAAACAAATAATCATAATGATAGTCACAACTTGTATTCAAAATGTCCGCTCCATAATGTTTACTCTGTTGAACATTTAGTAGGATGCTTGTCTTCACTGAACGCCATTTTTCAGGGTTTGCTGCAACATATATAAAATGGCATCAAAATCATCATCATCGACTAAAAGTGAACTTTAATTTGCAAAAATTTTCGGATATACAAAGCTTTTTAAAATTAGAATTGTTATATTTAAAATTTAATGTAAATAAAAGTGATAAAATATTTAGGGTGTCCCGATTTTATTAATCAAAGTGTAGTATAATAGGTAAATGATGATGATTGTCAAGTATAGCTTGGAAGACCATCGCAAATAATTTAGAAAAATATTATTTCATTTTGGAAATTGATATTTGTTAGCCTCAATGCAATGAGTGAAGTCGGACTCGACAGAAATTCATGGACGGTAACAACATGAAATTTAGTATTTTCTTCTGCGAGAATAGGATAGTCAGAAATTGTAAATTAAAACTAGATATTAGCTGCACGAAGAGGCTTCCACTGCTGGAACTTAGAAATGCATATTTGACAAACAAGCCCATGGGATTCCAAAACCTACATAAAAAAGATTTCTAAAATTTAAATGGATATCTGGAATTTTTATAGGTATATAGAAGATGAGAGACAAATGTAAACAAAGTTCTTGCCCTCTTGTCAGGAATTATTTTTAAAACAGTCTCCATTTCAAAAACCAATGTAGATCATGTAAAATTAAGTCGGAAAAAGTAGAAATGTAAGAGATAAACTCAAAATATCTAAATGCTTCACATGACCCAGACCCGAATGTACATGAATAAGTCAATCATCAGGTGCATAGAAAACTACCAATATTAGGAAATACTGGTTTGACCGAAAATTTAACCAATACATTCCATTTTCTTCACCGCAAATCTTCTGTCCATTGTCAGACGACATATAACTGTTACAATTAATCTTTTATTGTAGTGCTGAGCCTGTTCCTTTCCTATCATGAGCACTTCTTAGATTAATTTGATCATTGGTTTTTTGGCAAGGTAAAAAATAAGAAAAAGGACTCACCAGATAATTTCTCCCCCATCAGGACAATTGGTCTTCTGAACACCTCCGCTCCTCTCTGAATTTTAAGCAAAGTTTCCCTGGGATCGTCACCTTCTAGCAACTTCTGTACAAACGGAGAGCACAACATGAAACCATGAGCCTCGAATGCTCGAATATCTAAAACCTTCACTCATACCTTCAATAGTATTGACCAAAAATCTAGTAATTTTAATAATTATTTTTGCAAAAATCACCACACGATGCAAGGGCTCTTAACTCGTAACAGTCAACAAGTCGTCGTTTCCTGTTAATGACATGCCATAGAAAAATGAAGATCATGTTGAGCCATTCTGATCTAAAATGGAGAGGGCATATTAAAAAAATTCCAATATCTCAACGTAGATTATGCGCAAACTACAACCAGCCTTCAGGTGTCAGGTAACTTCAGCTGTCAAGTAAATTTGCAAATCCAATGTTGATGCATCTACCACCAGATTTTAACTACGGCAATTAGCTTAAATGAGGATTTTCCAGGGTTTCAGCTGAGCTTAGACAAAAGATAGGCAGACAATCTCGCACCTAGTGAGAGACACTAAAGATGTTCCATTTCCTTCAGTGTAATATTGGTTGCCTAGGTATTCGTGAAGCTCATCTTCATATCTCTTGAAAGAGCGCTTGTTCCCGTTTTACAGCAATAAGTTTCATTCTATCTGGTTCCTCTGTGTAACAGATGCTTAGGGACGATTGCATGAACGATGTTTATTTTAGACATTGATTATCGATAGTCATTGTTTACGAAACATCGGTTAACCGATGTCTACTTTCCATTGCGTGAACGATCCCTAAGCCATGTTTTCATAGCCGATGGTTAGACGATGGCTAAACACCTCTCATGGTACATATAGCACGTTCTGACTCCTCGGTTGTCGCGTAATACACTACAGACTCCACAAAAAACGAGCGAATCAATTAAAAAGGAGAACCTTTCCTCAAACTATTAAGTACATCTCGCTGAGCTTGTAAAGGAGAATCTAGCGAGAGAGAGAGGGAGAGAAAATGCACTTTCCTTCCACAAGTAATCATGCCTGGAAACTGGTGAGTTCTCCTCTGACCTTACTCTGTATTTCGATATATCAGAGGTAAAGCCAAGGACTCGTTTTGGACACACGGAAAAGTAGGAAATGTGAAAAATAGTATCATTTGTGTACGATTGCAAAATGAGAGTATTCGAGAATTGCGTGTGGATCCTGATCACGTGATGACAAATTCAGTAATAATCCCTTCCGCATCGTGCACTGCTTGGGCATCGATGAAATGGAAGCATTTGCAATTGATTAAAGTTGTCTGGGCGTTCGATTCGTTCAGCCGAAACATCGTTCATGCAATCGGCCCTTAGCCTCGAGAGTGCATTAGGTGCTAGTTTCAGGAAAACATTGTATCATCCACAGTACAACTAATGACTGACCACCACCACCACATTGTACTGAAGCTCAAAAGATCGATCCTGATTGGTGGATCTTTGCATCGTGACCAAGTTCCTCGGAGAATGGCTGGACGAGCCCCTCCACGTCTCTTCCGTTTCATCTTCCTCTAGACGCCTTCCTCACGCTGTTTGACAGTTGGTGACGTCATCAATGACGTTCCCCGTTCTACATTCTTCGCCGTCCTTGGGCGAATCGAATATCAAAACTCCTTCATGTATGTATGATGTATGTACATTTGAGACAGGAACTTTTCTTTAGTTATACCAGAAAACTCATTCGCTCCACACTATCTACGTCAAAAAATGACGTAGTGTGCCAGTCAGTTGCAGACCAATTCCAGACAAGTGTGTGTCATGCTTCTGTTGCTTACTATTGGGGCCCTTTTGACCCACCTCACCCCTTTCACCTCCTTTTGCCCACTCCGTGGAGCATGTACTAGGTCCTCATCATCATCCTGACTAGAGGACTGCCTTCTTCACCTCGATTCCTCCCTTTAACAAGTGGAGCTATCCATATCGGAGGATATCCGTGAGATAATCGGGTGGCACTTCCTGAGAAATGAAAGGACTATCCTCGATGTATTCTAGATGACGCTCTCCAGCATTCGTGGCGACACTTCCCAGCAGAATTCATGATCGTCCTGCTAACCTGGACTTTGCTGTGGAAAAGTGCGTCCCCTTTTCCTCCTCTCTGGACTATGAGGTCCACTTGGTGTGGCGTCACCCTGTCGTCGGCATCTCTTCCCCTGCGCCAAACTCAGATTAGGAACAGGAAACTGAGGATGTGGATTAGACACTTCGTCTCTGACCCACATCCTCAGCCCGACGACCTCCTTTGGAGGATAGTTATTTGTTATTTATACTTGTAATAGAATTAAAGCATCCAGTTATACCTTGTATTTTCTACTTTCTACACAAATCTTGTTCGCATAGTGTACAGCGACCAAACCTAAGCTTCTTTTCTCCGCCACCATGCTTACCCAGCCCAGCGGTCATATGGGTCAAAATGCCCATCAGACAATAAAACAATCTGATACTCTCGCTGCAGGAGTGCACAAAACCCTGCCTTTGCCTACGTTTCTTCCTTAGGCTAGATACTCAATTAATACTCAATTAAGGATAGTGTTGTCCTCTCGCTCTTAATATCATGACGTTTGAAGTCCTTTCTCCTTCATCACAGAAGGAAAGTGATGAGAGGAGAAAACAGTGAGAGACCTTGAGGAGAGGAAGATGTAGGAGTGATCCTGTGAGACAGAGAGAAAGGGACTCCAGTAGTCCTCCCCCATCGCACTGAATATCCAGGGCCACAGGAGGTCTACTTCCGAACTCCCATTGCACACCTTTCCTCTCCAGGAATCCAGTGATTTCCCAATGTTTTTTCAATTCAACCCGAGAAGCTTCTCCTGGCAATCCTGGAAAGAGACGGAATAGTGGTACCAAGTCCAGACCTTGTTGAACAAGCTCTCACATCTAATGCTGAAACATTTTGCAAAAGGTCCTTCTTGTTTACGGGAACAATGGTAACCGATCAGTGACTTATGCTCAGTTTTCAAGATGTACCTCTTTCAGGGTGTCCCATTTTTCACGACCAATCTCACATGTCATGTGATTCAGGAATAGAAAATGAAATTTCTTCCTTCCATCCTGGAACAAGAATTCAATTTTTGCAAACCTGTTATAAACATAAGTTTAAAATTCCGAACGGTGAGAATTTACAGGCCGCCGAAACTATGAACTAGGGCCAAAAAGTCATAAAGCAAAAAAAAGCATTGTTTCTTTTCGAATCTTAGTGAAATCGATGAGAATGCGAAGGACAAATAGAAATTTCATCAGAGTAAAAGCATCTCATTACAGCCCCATCGTGCATCTTTGTTATTTTCTTACCATCCCATGCGTACCCCCAATCGGTGAAGGGGGAAGAGGACCGCGGTAAAGGTAAAATTCCATCGAGCGCCTTCCATGTTTCGGGGGGGAGAGAGAGCGCACCGGTATCCCGGTCGAGGTATCCTCCATTCACTGCCTTCTCTCCAATTCTCTTTCCAGCGTCATTCCAGGTTGGTTCCTACAATACAAAGAAGCATTCATATTCAACCCAACCCAAGATCAACATTATTCTACGGAAACACTCAGGAATGAGCAATAAGCTTCAGACTTGAGAGAGGAAAACAAAACATTGACTCTTGAGTTTCTTTCCTTTAAGAGCTAAACGGAACGAAATATCTACAGTACATCGTTGAAAAAATTTCGGGTTTTGCTGCCACTTTTGCCTGGAATCAAGAAATCCTTAGTTCAATTTTTCTGGAGGAAAATATTGATGCATCAATTTTATTCTACGCGCATGTGTTTTTCATGAGATGCATTTCGACCTCGTTCTTCATAACATATTCGTTCTACATTGCCCTGTAGGGTGGTGGGTAGGAATTCAACCTGAAGACTGGAATTTCGCTTCTCTTTACATATTTGTATATCGCTACAACAAAAGGGCATACACTTCGATTCATATAGGCCCTTGCGTCATCTACAAAACCCCCTGGTTACATCGGCTCAATGGGGAGAGTGGTGCATGTAGAGAAATCTACTTTAAGATAATTTTTTCGTCTGATTTTTCACACACCTCCTTGCATTTCCTGTTGGCACTTGCACTTGTTAAACAGGGTATCACTGCGCTTACCCGCTGTTCTAAAAAGTCGCACGATTCCATTTTCAAGCAGCTCCTTTACCTTAAGAAGTTATCTTTAAAATATCGCTTTTTGCTTAGGGGTATATTTAACAGCACATCATAAATCTTAAAAATCGTCGTGATTAGGTGCGCAAGATTTTAGCGGGTGTCATCACCTCATCAACCGAATAATTCTCATTTTGACCCGATATTCATACCAAGTTCAATTTGCAGAGAACTTCGATGCAAATAGCTTAAATGTCAAGCGAAATAAACAAAACTTATGTATATCATGAGATAGTCTAGATGCAATCCTCATCACTGCCCTCATGAACCAATATGAATACTTTTAACACATTGACGACAACGCACGTTTTTCGTTTTTTCGCGCGTGGGACAGACCCAGACAGAACAGTGATTGTTTCACCAAACATCATAAAAGGTGTTCAAAATTGTTTGTTTTTTGAAGAATGACAAATAAATATTGAAACCAGATTTAGCTTGCCCACGATGTTTACAAGCGGGAAATTATTAAAAGCGCAGAAAAAATCAATTAAAACTGATACGACCCACCGGTGGGTCGTATTGTCCCACGCGGACAAACTGATACGACCCATCGGTGGGTCGTATTGTCGTCAATGTGTTAAATTTGGATATTAAGAAACAACTTGGTTGGACCTACGATATCATACTTAATGTTACGTATTTTAACCCGCTAAACATGTTATTTCTAAATGTTTGTTCTCATCATTTATTACTCTTGACGTCTGAGAAATCATCACATGCCGTCCGATGTTCTCATTCAATATAAAAATATTACGCTCCGCTTCTGCGTGCTACATGCTTCCTGGTGAATTTCAAAGTTTTAATGAACAGCTACGATTACATATACATTAATCCGATGTGTATTCCTTCTTAAAAAAAATAGATATCGATGATGGCGGAGGCTATGATTCAGGGAAAGAAATCGACTTACCCTCAGAAACCTCTCCTTTTCATCTAGGGTCAATAAGATTCCTGGGTGCGCTTCAATGTCTTTTGGAGTAGGGCCTTCCCAGATTTGCAGATGATGTTCTTCAATCATGGTATTCCAGAGGTCTTCATGGCTGGGGATGTCGTCAATGATAGTGAGTTGAGTCCTGGAACGGGATATCACTTCTAGTAACCAATTGTCCCCCACGTCCATTACAGTGACGATTGAAGCCTCACACCCACGAAAGTTCTCAGGGTGAATCACTTGGATATCAGAGAAACCAGGGATATCAAAACCGGTTTTCAGGTTTTTCAAGGAAGTTAACAGGTCATTATCTGATACCAGGATATAAGGATGATGAACTGTCGCGTTTGGAAAGGCAAGAGAGAGGGAGGATGCAAATGCCACAGATTTCCTGCATGACCCCAACCCATTGCAGACATATCCTAAATGACGTTTCGAGCACTTAAAGAATTGCACTGGCGGTCCAAGAACGATAGTAGCGGGAACAGAAGACACGGACAAACTCTTCGCTCCCAAGTTTAGAGCTTTCCCAGTCTCGTTTTTCTTGATATGCTCAATAAGATCCACATTGGTAGGTTGAGACTGAAGTATAATCGCTGTGCTTTCTCGGTTCTCTTTAATAATTTTTATAGTTCTTTCAACAGCACCCACTAAGGCGTCCACCGAATGAGGTTTGAAGGCGAGTATGAGCCGTACTTTCATCTCTTTCAGTCTTTCTGGGGTTCCTTGGAGATCCTCCAACAATGGGCAGTCTTCAACGACCACGTGGAGGGGATCTATATCCTGCTTTTCTCCTACTACTCTCTCATTCCCCTTCCCCTGATCTTCTTTCTCCTTTTTCTTCTCCTGACAACTTTGCACAAGTTCGATAATGCTCTGGAATGACCTGATATCGTAAGATCCGAAGTCTTTTATGATATCCACATTTTCATTCGTCCCCCAGCGCCGTTGGTGTTCTGTCAGGGATAACACCCTACCGGGTTGGAGTAGGATGACTCGCCCCCCACTCTCTATCACGTGGTTAATCAGCATATTCACTCTCCTGGATTTTCCCGAGGCAGGGGGGCCAAATATTCCGCTAAGCCAATGTCGTAGCATCAAATCCACATCGTGTTTCTCCTTTTCCTCCCATTCATCCCAATCTATATTCATTCCAGGGAAGGCCTTCTCTTCCAAATTATCGATTTCCTTCGCATCCCTCTGTTGCCACGCCTTCTTCATATTTTCCTTGAGTTCAACATTATCCTTACACTCCTTAATCGTCCACTTTGGAATTTGCTTAGTTACACGGGAAAACTTCCCTGTCCTCAGTTGTTCTTCTTCGACCGCGATGATCTTGTTTTTCCCTATCGTTGCTATCAATCGAACGTAGTTCTGCCATTTCGAATGAGTGAAATCTACAATTACTGTCACATTTTTCGAGTGACATCCAATCATTTCACTCTCAGTCACGATGATGATGGGGAACGAGCCTTCTGAGGCTGTATTTCCACGGAAATCCCATAACTTGCGGCTCGAGTTGAAGTCCGGGAAGAGGAGAGGAAGGAGTGGGTCGAGGGAAGCGAATGTGTTCGCAAGATCATTCCTTCGGTTATCACTATCAACCACGACGAAAAGTGAAGTCGTTTCCGGTGGCCTAAAGCATTCCTGATATATGACGCGAATAGCGTGCGCGGCCCTAAGAGCCTCACATGCCTTTTCGTCCTTGCATTCTATTGGATGAACGGAGAAGCAAGAGGGAATGGGAAAGAGGGCTGGAAGAAATCTCGCCCCAGACTGTCTTACATTTAAGGGAAGTGTCTTCTCAAGGGATATGAAGATCCGGCGAGAGTAATCCCCAATAGCAAGGAACAATTCAGCAATTTTCCTGCAATTTCTCTTCACTTTCTCCAGGACTACCAGCTTGCAATCGACTGGCTTCACGTCCTGAAGAGAGAAGTCTCTCGTGTATGATTGGTCATTGGGCCGGAAGGAGAGAGTGATCGACTTCATTTCAGGCGTCATGCCTACGACCCACTCCCAGTGTTTGGAAAGGGCTCCCGAGGTGATGACTCCCTGGAATCCTAGAGTGATAGGGACTTCGTCTATCAAGATGTGTTTTCCTTTTCCTCTCGCGCGAAGGTATTTCTTTAATGCTTCAAGATCTTCTTCCAGGCCTTCCCTTCTCCCGTCCACCACCTCGATGTTCTTTGTTTCTGTTGAAGCATGAAGGAGAGCTATTTACATCAGTTTACATCACCAACTTATTTGTAAAATTTATACCATATGATACTACGACGTTCTAATGCAATATATATCAGGCTGTCAAAGTAAACGCTCCGCATTTTCCATCAAGCTCCTCATAAAAATGGTCCTGCACGATATTGCGCGAATTCACACTCAATATAACAGCTGCACATTCTACAGATTATTTAACACAACGACGGAAACAATTCACAGTATCAGAGAAGAAACCTTAGGATTGCCAAAATCATGATTTTTGTAAAGGCTACAAAATTGTCTCAGAAAATATTACTAATTAAGTTTTCAACCAAAAACAGACATTAAGAGATTTGATTGAATATGTGAAGTTCATTTCACCTATTAGGTCATGCCGAAATTCCTCAGTCAGGTGTCCCCCGACGATATTTATCAATAACACTTCGCCTTGCGCCGCCATCCGTTCCGCTCTTTTCTTGATAACGAACGTTTTTCCAGTCCCTGACCCTCCAAATATGAAGACTATATTTTCTTCACTCTTCACTAGTTCTCTTTGTGGAGGAGTAAGAATCATCAGCATCTTCTGCAAGTGTTCCTCACTCTTATGGAACAGTTGATTTGGGTTTCGTGGGAGATCCACAAACGAAGCTGCACAAACATAGAGACTGAAGATTTTCATGAAGGTTTGCTTGATATCCTCCCTGGTGGTATCCTGTTTCCACGAGTTCTCCAGCACGATATTGTGCGTCTTCAGGAAGGTTTTAAATCTCCCTAAAGTAAGAAGATCATCCGAGGTGAGGATTCGCTTCCTGCAATCGTCACAAGGGATCACATCTTGCAAATCTGATCTCGAAAGCATTGGAAAGGCTGCAAAACCTGTCAACTTCACAGCTGAATTAATAAATTCACTACACATGATCCTGAAAATGCTGAGGTCCTTTTGGATTTGTTTTGTTGCCTTAGAAAGGCAATCACGGATTCCTTTAGGGTTTACTTTTGGCGTTGTTCCTTTAATTTGAAAGAAAACCCCAATGATTTCGTTCATATATATTCCAACTCCAAAGACATCATGATCCCCAGGTGTCAGGTCATCTATGGTTACACCGGAATTAATGAACTTCTTCTTCTGCTCTTGATTGACTCCCCTGAGCAACGTATCGGTGAATGCGTAATCATAGATTGTGAGGGAAGGCACATTCTTGTACGTTTCCTTCACTTTATCGAATACCATGGCAACTGAGCACTCATCAAAGGGTATGTCCGTATCACCTTTCCTTGCTTCCCTCTGCAACTTATTGAAATCTTTCGTCTTTAATACATATCCCTCAGGTAATGAATACGCCTTTTTATAGGCCTCTGGGTAGTACTCCATCACATATTCTCCTGATGCGTGTATCAGGGGTCTTACATCATCAGCCCCCATGTAAATATTGAGGTATTTTTGAATGTCCAAACTTCCTTTTCTTTCGTAGTTCTTCAATTCCGCAAGGCTTGAAAACTCCGCGCACTTCTCACACGTGGCTCCAGAACCCTACACAAATAGAAAATACCCAAATATAACTTCTCAATCCTACACAAAACTAAGAATTGGAATTTCTGAGGAGATTTTGAGTTGAAGAGCGAAGTTGTAAGTGCGATTTCAGAAATAACTTCATGACCCTGTCCCCACCTTGGGGGGGGTTCTCTTATCTAAGTCTAAGACTAAGGTCACAAGCAGCTCCCCATGGCTTTTCTTTCAATGGAAGCCTTGTTTTGACTAGCAAGTCTTCAAAGGTTTGAATTTCCTAGAATGAGGTTAAGCAATTCACTTGAACTAAGTTTAAGATTTAAATAGAATACGTCAAATCATGATGGCTTTTCTTCGACTATCCTCACTGCTGTTAACGCGTTTCTTTTTCAGCTGCTCAGCCTTCTTTGTCACGTTTCAAGGTATTCAGTCATGTTCCAGCACATTTCACGCGTGCCAAAAATTTAAATTCCTTTCTGAAAGAAATAAAGAAAAGAATTCCCCCAACAATTGCTCTGGATCCTTCCCAGGTTAGTTCCAAAGGCACAATATCCATGTTTTTATTGCATGTGCCTTCTGGGATTTAGCAAATGAGATATCAATCATAATTTTAGAAACATTGCAAAAAGCAAAATTCGACCTTAATGGGTCCTTAAGGCAGGGTTTCAAATATTAGGGGCCATATCCCCTCAATTTACCCTATACTTCAATTCGTTGGCTTGTAAAATTACACATGCAGCGCTGCACAATAAGACCTAATTGGGGTTTGCAACTCCAGTCTGCCATACTTCCCCATTTCCTCCTGTCGAAATTGGCTCCTCCCGGAAAGAAATGGAAACGCGTCATGTACATTCGTGGTCAGGTAATAGAAAGCTCTCGATGTAATTCCAATTCACGGTTCCATTTGGTGCTTCGATGAATAATGTTTGTTCTATTGCATCCTTTATGTAGTATTTAAATCTCAACAATCTTTAATCGAATAGCATGTAAGATAATTGAATTGATAACAGTCATACTTATTTTTTTTTATACTTTGGAAGTCCAGAATTTGCTTAGTCAGAAGCCTTATGAAATAAAATATTTGCCGCTGTGTCGGAAATAAGTGTGGAAATAAGGGAATAAATTCATCAGGCTTCATATTTCAACTCACCCCTCATACGACCATGAGTTTTGATTTTAATTTTCCTGCAGGAAAGAAAGTTAAAGAAAGTGTAACTAGGAAGTTGTCATGCAATAGTGGAAGAATATTTACCAATATGAAAGGTAAGGGATATTGGAAAGGGGCACCGAGGCAGGACTACTCTGTTGCTTCCGACTGCAAGCTAAAAGGATATGGTAATCCCCCATCAAAATGCCATAATGCTCTCAGCGGAAAAATATGCAGTAGGTGAAACTTGAGATGTAATTGAAGTATCATTACCAATTCACGTTAATGAGAAGCTGCAGAAAAAGAGTGTTTCACCTGTGAAGAATTTCCATGGGTTTCGGAAGGATCTTCCATATCTGGAATACAACTTCGAGGAAGTATGAGCCAAAATGGTATTTCCCTTGTGTTTCTTCTACTCGTACGTCTCTGAAAAACACATGCGTAAGTTAAAGTATCGTAGATAATTCGAAACTCATGTCCCAAAACACGCAAAATCTTCATTGGAAACATGCCATGGGGTCATTCCATATCAAATCAGCACAGCTATCAACACAACGGCCCCAAAAAGTTGCTACTAAAGCGTATTCCTTCTCATCTGTTTCAAAAGAAGATGAGGTCATTGCCGCTATAAATTCGCAATTTGAAAGCAATAGTCATGAAAAAGGAGTGTCCTGTAATTTAGTCCAGTTTTCGTTCAACTTATCTATAGTTCGTTTTTTAACCGAGTTCTTGACAATTTAACTGTCACTGGTTATTTTCGCTTTCAGACAATTAATATTTAATAGGGATTTTCACGTACCTGTTATCACTACTGTTTGTAACTCTTGACTACATGAGAGTCCAAAGTTTACATTTTGAGCACTACTGCAGAAAACACGGACAATAGCACGGTAACTTCTTGAAGGAAATAAAATTGACACTTTCTCCTGAATTAAAGGTCAGTCTTCTGCTACAGTCTTGATAAGATTCGGGGTGGAACACAATGACAATGAAAAACGAATGGATTGTAAGAGAATTTTCCCCTCTTAATAAGTCAGAGGTGCCAGTTCGACAATACCCAAGGGGTCGTAACTATTAATAGAAAGCCGAATAGAGCCTTATATCAGGTTGTAAAGGTGAAATTTATACATTTCGATTTTTTCTAGAAAAATCTGGAAAATGTTTGAACTTTCTATGTAGGTGTATAAGTAGAGTGACCAGTGGGCATTGTGGGCGTGAGTGCTTATCGTGAACCTACAACAGATACATTGACGCAAGACTGCACTCTAGTCGTTGTTGAGTTAATTGTCAATAAATTGTTTTCTGGAAAATGTCTAAATTTCACCTTTACAACCTGATAATATCTACCTAATAGGCATTTATTAGCGTAACTGGAACGGCTTTTTGCCTCCTGGTGGAGAGCATTTTAACCGATTCCTATTATAGGTCGGGGCCTCTAATAGAGATAATAGCGTTGATTTCATAGACCTCGTCATTGTGATTTCTTCTTTCATAGCATCCAATTACTGGACGAGCTACGAAGACCCACTCGTAGAAAGCGATCTCTTTCTGTAAGCCTTCCAGTCCTCATTGCTACGAGATATTATGCAACAGGAGATTTATTCCGTGAAGCTGGCGACCCGTTGGGGTGACTGTTTCTACCAAAGAGAGCCTGTAGTTTCTGTAGAGCCATCAATGATGTATCAGAAGATTCTGTTCTGTGCCAAAGAGCTAATAATTTCATTTCTTTTCCCGAAGAACCCAGGGAACTGAATGCCATTAAGCAAGGTTTCTTCACCATCGCACAGTTCCCAAAAGTCCTTGGTGTAATTGATGAAAGTCAAATTTTCATCAAGGCTCCATCTGCGGATGAGGAAGTTTACGTGAACAGAGAATTCTTTCATTCAATCAACGTTGAAGGCATCTGCGACTCTGATCTTATCTTCACGAATATTGTTGCCAAACGGCCAGGAAGCTGACATGACATGACAGCTTCATCTGAAATGCACGTGACGTCAAAGTGCGATTTGAGAATGAGGATTTTTGGGAACGGATATTTGCTTGGTGATTTGTTCTAATTCTTGTTTTAGTAATGAACAATGAACAAGAATTAGAGCAATGTCAATGAGCAATGTTCTCTCACATAGATCTAGTATGATTTATTGATGAGGTAAACTCGCAAGTTTTCCAGGCATTGTGGCAATTTGCAGTTTTTTACCTTTTTTCCGTGGGTTGCACTTTATCCGGAATGTGATGGCATGACACCATCCAATCTGGAGTTTCACCAGATCACATTTTCGCTGGACAATCGGGTAGGTTTAGCCCATTGATGAGTCCATGAAAGAGCTTGATTCTGAAGTCGCTGAAATCCCTTCGATGTATGAATCTTGAAATCCACAAATGAATTCATAATGTACATGCCCCATATCCAGAAAATAGAGGAAAAGCTTCTTATTCGCATTGAGGGGATTTCGGCGCATGACCTGCTATGCATTTGTGATGTGATGTTACGACTTAGTCACCCAGATCCACTCCTTTCATTACGTAGTTATTAGCGAGGATAAATCCTGGATTTCCGCTCGTTTTTTTCGGTGGTCATTATTTTGGAATCTGCGTGAATTGTTGAGAACTTAAACGTCCTCTCAATTGAGGCAAAATATCAATACCGGTGAGCGAATAGCCATTTTTCCCTTTTTGAGTCTCACAATGGCACGGTCTTCTGGTATTTGCTTATGATTCAACTTCATCGGTACCAAACATAGGTCCCTCCTCCGCCGAGTAAGGGGCCATGCACACTGGGAAGAACTGTGTTGCGACCACTGCGACCGTCGCAATCGAGAGCAGTACGCTCTAGGAAAGCAGACGATACACTCCTGTCGTATCTTCGCAGTGGTTCGCACTGCGTAGCTATTGACTGCAACTCATCAAATCCTCAGATACTTAATTTGACGGCTCTTTTGGCGGAATGAAATCGGCGGTAAACGATACTAATCATCATTAATTGTCCATGAACGAGACGCATTGCTAGAATAAATTAATACTCAAGAAAGATGTCAATGTCAATTACATTCCCAATGACTGTTTTTAATTATTTCAATTCATTTTGTTAACCATTTCGCCTAATTTGCCACCCATTAACCTACCTCAATGACATTGCCACCATTTGCGCGGGGAAATGCATGGACCGAAGTTCGTGACCTGCCCTCTCTTCCAGCGAATCCAGAATGATCTTGAATTGCTCAAGAGACTTTCTCACGGATATTCTCCCATCTGGTGACGGGTCTGTGTACAGGACGTACCTGCCACTATCGAGTTTTTTCCCCCATGCGATCACAAAAAAGCATAGTTTTTGCTCCACGATCTCTCGAATTGTACAGAACCTCCAGAGCTCCCAAGCGAAAGTCAACATGACTTTCGCTTGGGAGCTCTGCGACCAGTGTGGAAGATGTTTCGCACACGGTCGCAGTGTGCATCGGCCTTAAGGTACAATATGCATGTGCGACGAGGTACGCACGAGCATAGTCTGGACCTGAGAACGCCTCCTGACCAACTTCGGTTCACTCACAGCAGGAATCAACTTCAAGGATTCGCTCTTTCTACGCCAAGTGAGAAGCTATCCGCTGTTCATGAGAGATTCCCAAGCAATTTCTTGGTCTCCATAGATAACCAATTGGTAACTTGTATTTCGAATAATTTGGGAGGTGAACGGTCTCCTCTCACGAGTCAAGCTATCTTTCCTGCTCTATAAAGACAGCTTTATATCAAGGAATTTGCTCTTTGCGTGAAGAGGAATTAAATCTGATCTGATTAATGGTAGCCTGAGTATTTGCAGTGAAACGGATTACAGATACAGCAGGGATAGTTGCAAACAAACCTAAGGAACAAATGTACTAATGAAAGGAACTTCCATACTTCCCATCGGAAATATGTTAGACCAAGCAAGGACCTCACGTTCGCTGCCTGAGGAGATTTTTCATGTCGATCGCAAAGGATCTGCCAAATGGAACAACCAATGTCGCAAAAAAGGAATCAGAATCGACTGGACTATGAGAGGAAAGGCTGTCAATTAACTTTTTCCACGCAGGACTTCTCCGAGGTTTTTTCGGAACGGTATGACAGCACCGGAGACAATATCAATAACTTGTAATTATCATTCCGACTTGATGCAGAAGATTGAGCTTCATCTTCCATTTTGCCGCGCATTAGACAGCAAAAACATCGCCTTTTCTTCCCTTTCAATATTACTAAAATTTTATTTTTCTACGATTCGCTTATTTTCATCTCTCATTTATGCAACATCGACTCGTCCGGATTGGTCCGTCTCGATTAAAACATCTCAGTCATGTCTTTCCACGATGAACCATAGCCCAGACCATCAATTCCCCATTACAGCTAGCCCATGCCCCATGTTCAGGGAAGTAGAGGAGGGAAAAAGTGGCGGGGTGGGTCGTTGTCAGTTGAAGGCAACGGCTGCGTCCCTTCCTCATTTATCGTGTTCTTGCGAAGACGCGACTTTCTTGGCTCGTCTAAACAATGGACTACCATGTCAATTATAACTCAAAATCCCAATGTTGTTTTACTCCGCAAACTCTGGCACTCCCATTTCCCCTCCTCGATAATGGGAGGACAGAACCATATATGAAACCGTCGATAACGTCTTCGATGACTGCAGCAGTGTCGCCTCAGAATTTATTTTGATTTAAAATAATAACGCACTTTCCTACCATTTCCCGAATGCTTTTCCTCGCGTCAGAAGGAAAGGATAGTACTACACTGCTGAATAAATTAATGGTCTCGTGGCAAAGTCTATATTGGAAGTCAAAAGAAAGATCGATAAGCGCTTACGGTTATGAGGAGAAGGCGAATATTCAGTTTTCCGGAGGCATCGGGTTCACATATTCCGGTGGACGAAAAGGTGTAGAAGAATATCAGATGCGCATCGCGAGTTAATGGAGTAGATCAACTCCTATACCCTCTCTTGTTCAGCACTCGGGTCCATGAAACTGCATCCCTTATTGTCTTAAAGATTCTGTATTGTAGGTAGAACAAACCGATAAAACTCTAACACTCGTATGACACTCGATATGATATGAGACTCGTATGACACCTAACACTCGATCGATCTTACGCTTAGTGGGCCACAAACACCGAAGCAAAGTTCACTATTGGCGAATATCTGATGGTCCACTCGTTTCCGCACTTCCACAACATAGGAGTATAAAACCATGTATTAGAACACTAACACTTCGATGGAATCCGAGAGAAACGCGAAGTGCATAAGGGTTTAGAAGTATCTGTAACCTATTCCAGTAGAAGGCCCTCGTCGCTGAACAGGCGCGAGCGCGGGATAAAGTTATCTCGGATAAGGGACCAAGGTCATCAAGAGTGGCTGGGTGCGTGAAGGCATTTCTCACTCCCAATAGAAGTAACCGAGCTATAAAATGTTATGACTGCACAGTCGCCCATTCTCCCGCGAGCTCTCGCGGATGTCGGACCTAGATTTGATCCTTATCCCCTGCTCTGATTGCGCCAGACTCCAGACTATTTGCTTATCTTCATTCGGTTCCACTCAATTGTCCTATTTCTGCCTGCCAAAGGCCTTCTCGTTTCGTTTATTGCTCTAATGTGGATTCAAGGTCGTATTATGCGACTCCCTTAAAACTGTATGCATACCTACACGAGGCTAGAGACAGGCAACAGTACATCGCATAATGTGTTGGCTAGCATGCAACGCACACACTTAACGGAGGGAAGGGCATGGCCCAGGAGCCTCAGGCCAGCTTGGATGTCCCCTCGTTTATTACTAGCACAAAAAACGGTCCACAGCGAAATTCTAGAAGAGGAGGATTCTGGAGGAAAAATTCTGGAGACTAGTAATATTTCGGCTAAAAATAGCAATACATTAATTAAGAAATTGTTCTCTGCGAGTGTGCAAGAAAGGGAGGGGGACGTGGAAGTAGTGAAAAATAGAGCGGGTAGAGAATGGAAGATAAGGAGACGTGGGGGCAAGATACTGCAAAAGGATGACTCCGGCTATGTGACATTCACTCCAGCAGGAGTGAATCATTTGCTGAGGCGATGCCAGTGACTTCTGCCTTCCTCCTCAGGGCTTCTTGTAGGAATTATGCTGTATTCCATAAGCTTTCATGAAATGAAAGTGTCCTAAGCGGGTCCTTGCCTCTCACCTCAGAGGATAGTCCATTTCCAGGTGCCAAGCTTGAACCGCGCTAATTGAGACCTGATGAATTGGCTACCTCTCTGCGTATTTTTATATCTCGGCTCTTGTCTTCAGAAAGCAATAACTTCCTAATTCTTCATGCATTAATCTGGAAATTGGGGCGATGCATCCTCTTATGAAGCTCATGGTAGAAACAACTTCAAGGTTCAAAGTTTGTAGGTGGTATTGGAAGGCAATAACGCCCAATCGGATACGACATGACTAAGACAAGAATTCCTTCATTGTAGGACCAACACTGAAGCTGAATATTTTTAGATTTTTAGATTTTCCCAACATATCATAGTCATTTACTGCCTAAACTCTTTCTTCTTGGTCAATGAAAGCATCTAGTCACTATAATTCTTTAAACTAGCGGTTTTCTACCTAAGAACCTAAATTTCTTTGTCGTAGTTCTTACTTAAACAGTTTTTGCCCTATATCCGTAGCTGAAACTTGATCACAGTTCACGATGGAACATATATGCGTAAAAAAAAAATGCTGAGGTACAGTTAGCTACAATTACCAGTATACTTGACGCATAACCAAGAAGTAGTCTGACATGTGTGAAGTAAGAACGTAATGCACATAGGAAGGAAACCTTACATTTGCTTCACGTTGCATATATCCCATATAATGGGCTTGTCAAAGAAGCAATTCATAAACCATATCGTCGTTAACGATGCCAGCAACAGTTTTGCTTCATTCAATCGATGGCCTGAATTTCAGGAAATCCTCAAAGCGAACAAGTAGTAGTATGTAGGCATCATACGTAGGCCATGTGTGAATTTTGAACTCGGAAGGAATGGCACGACTCGATCAAACTTCTGTCCTTGAGACTTGTTGGTAGTAATGCCATAGGCAGGCCCACTGAGGAATTGACGTCGAAAAGGCTCGAACGATATTCTGACATGGATTAACGTGTCTAGCAAATGACGCTGCCACGACCCGCATCCATGACTTAAATAACATTTATGTTCACACATTGAGGAGTGCAAACACCCCGTGTTTACAATGGGTTTCAGATCCAGGCGTCAAGGACGGGACCCGTGTAAACACGGATATTGCGCATGACGAATAAATAAGCATATTTTGACATCTGTTAGGGGGTTTTCGAACCTATTGAACATATGCTTTTGAATAGGAAGCTTTATGCGTTAAAGCTTTTAAATTTGAGGCATATGTGATGAAGGCAGTGTTGAGAGGCACGACTGAATGTCCTGGGTTCGGTGGTGTAATGGTAGCACACCTGACCGGCAATCAGGAGGCCCGGGTTCAATTCCCGGCCGTCCCCTGGCTTTCTTTCGTCCTCTCATGTCCATCCAACCTCCCTACCTTCAGTTATTCACGTGACAACTTGGTGGCAGCNATGACACCTAACACTCGATCGATCTTACGCTTAGTGGGCCACAAACACCGAAGCAAAGTTCACTATTGGCGAATATCTGATGGTCCACTCGTTTCCGCACTTCCACAACATAGGAGTATAAAACCATGTATTAGAACACTAACACTTCGATGGAATCCGAGAGA